AGGAGAGGAGGAGGAGGAGGAGGAGGGAGGAGGAGGAGGAGGAGGAGGAGGAGGAGGAGGAGGAGGAGGAGGAGGAGGAGGAGGAGGAGGAGGAGGAGGAGGAGGAGGATGGAGGAGGAGAGAGGGAGGAGGAGGAGGAGGAGGAGGAGGAGGAGGAGGAGGAGGAGGAGGAGGAGGAGGAGGAGCAGGAGGGGGAGGGGGGAGGAGGAGGAGGAGGAGGAGGAGGAGGGCGAGGGAGAGGAGGGGGAGGCAAGCGCGGTGGCGGGACTGGCCGCCGGCGGCTGGCTAACGTGAGGCACTTGCCAGTCGAAAGCGATGAACAGGCCTGGCATCATGCAAGGCGCGAGCCGAACGGGCTGCGATCTAGTAGCTACGGGGTTGATGATGCTGATGAGGATGCTGATCATAATACTGATGACGATGATGATGCTGATGCTGATGCTGATGATGATGATGCTGATGATGATGATAACGATGATGATGCTGATCATGATGATGATGATGAGGGTCATGATGATGCTGGTGATGATGATGATGCTGGTGATGATGATGATGCTGCTGATGATGATGATGATGATGATGCTGATGATGGTAATGGTGATGGTGATGGTGATGGTGATGGTGATGATGATGATGATGATGATGATGATGATGATGATGATGATGATGATGATGATGATGATGATGATGATGATGATGATGATAGTGACGATGGCGACGATGACTTTTCCACCAGAGGAATAAACCAGTGTGGTCTCAAGATCGTGTGCTCCACTCCCACAGGACGTTGAGGACAACGACTTCTCCCGCATCGGAACTTCACCGTGGCAGCATGAGGAGGAAACGGTGCCTGCCGCAGGACAGCGCCGCGCCAAGCATCTCTCAGCCGAGCCCCACCAGCTCTTGAGGGCGTAAGGTGGTTTAGGGGACTTCCTCTTCCACCCCTCCCTCTTCCCCTTCGGCGGAGAGGGGTTCACCCCCCCCCCTACCCCCTGCCCTGGACCTGGACGGGGGGGTTCGCGGGTACTTGGAGCGTCCAAGACGGCCTCGGCGAGGGAGCCAACATCATTGGTTCTACTTCGGTTTGGGCCCCCATTTTGGCCTTCTGGAGGGGGGGGTGCTAATTATAGAACCCCCCGTTCTTTGATCGATCTCCCGCGAGAGGGCCCCAAGAGCGCTCCCAAGGCTCTCAAGGGTGCCCCAAGAGGGCCCCAAAAGGTGGCCAGGAGGCCTCAAGAGGCCCCCAAGAGGCCCCCAGGATACCCCCAAGAAGCTCCCAAGCGACCCCTAAGAGGCCCCCCGGAGGCACCCAAGACGCTCCAAGAGGCCTCGGCGAGAATGCCAAAATCATTGATTTCAGTACAATGTTGTGGCCACACGTTGACCTCCCGCAGGACGTTCCAAGAGGCCTCCACTGGGGGACCCTTCCTCTGTGTGCTGCCCACTTCCCTGATCGAGGCAATTCCTCTGGGCATCGTTTCTGGATGGGCTGGTGGGGTTACTTTTTTGATCTGCGGCCCCAAGGAAGAGTCCAGAGGGCGGGTCAATCGGGCTGACTGGGGCACAGAGCCAGATAATTTGCGATACCCAGTCGTCACTGTCGACAGCCGACCGCACATGCAAGCATGCCGAGCAAATTCGAGGAGACGCATCTTAGCGTCGACCGAGGGGGACGGGCGCGGGAAGCGAGCGACCCAGAGGGCGGGTCTGGTGGGGTTACGCGAAGCGTCTAGAATTCAAACAAAGCTCCAACGGAGCTCCAGCTTTGTGGATGGATGGATGCCGACGCATGTAGCGTTGGATGCCGTCGCATGTACGTATGCTGCCACATACACTCAAATGCAGGGCATTTAGCCCGGTGAATGCAGCGCCGAATACAGCGTCGAATTACGTGACATGGTGAAGCTGACGACCACCACCAGGAGACTGTGCCCGCATGAACGAATACTGCCATCGAACAACACGCGCGCGCTAAGGTTCTAACCTGTCCCATTCGCAACGTACGTTTCATGGAGAACAACATGTATTACCAAACTGTTGTTTTGGGTTCTTGGTCCCGTTGCACTTGTATGCTAGGGCGTTGCCAGGACCAGGAGGCCCCCCAAGAGACCCCCAAAGGCCCCCAAGAGGCTCCAAACAAGACCCCCTAGCGGCCCCGAGGCCCCCCCCAGGAAGCCACAAGCCGGCTGTAAGAGACCTCCTCCTCGTCCTCCTCCTCCTCGTCCTCCTCCTCCCCCTCGTCCTTCTTCTCGTCCCTCTCATCCTGCTGTCTCTTCCTCTCCCAAGTGCTCCCCACCAAGGGGTTACACAACGGCTGGAGGACCACGTAGCTCAATAGCCTGGCAAAACTTCTGCCAAACGTTTGGCCAAATAGACGTTTCCCAAATGCGGGGGGCAAGTTGCCCTTCATACGGCTCGAGAAGCCCCCGAAACGTCCCAAGAGGGCTCCACGAAGACCTCCTGGAAGCCAATCTCATCGGTGTTCCTTTGGTGTTTGAATGGTTTCAGCGCGCCGATGCTCCAAGATGGACATTTTGACCTCCAAGACGGCCCCACAAACCTCCATGATCGCCCAAAACGGCCCAAGAGGCCTCCAGGAGGCCCGCGAGACGGCCGAAGAGGGTCCCAAAACAGCGGTCTCGAGCCAGTCTGGTTCTTGGGCGGTCTTGCGCCAGTCTGGCTCTTGGGCGGTCTCGAGCCAGTCTGGTTGGCTGATTGGACCGTCTTGCTCTCCAGAAGCCCGAGAAATCGAGAAAACGAACATCCTGTTTCTGAGTTCAAACAAATAAGAACTTGTTCAACAACTGTAGTCTTTGTCGATGGAGACCTTTTGGGGGGTCCTTCTGGAGCCGATGGGGCGCAATGGGCTGTCCTGGAGGTGTCTGGGGTGACATTGAGCCGTCTTGGGCGAGTCATGCAGGTATTCGGGGTCTGTTGGCGTCGCGTTCAGGCCGCCCGCGGCCACTGGCACCCCTCTCGAGGCTGATACCCCAGAGGCCGAAAACGAGCCCCCGACCCAGACCTGAATTCGGTCACTGGTGGTTGGTGGTTGGGGTGGGGGTGTGGGGAGGGAGATTTTGGAAAAGCGGGGGGCCCACCCCGGCCAAGGCCAACAAAATCTGGGGGCCTCGCGGCGGTTCCTTGGGCCCTCTTGTGCCGTAGTGGCGTGCCGTGGCGCTCTTTGCGGTATTCTTGGCAAGTGCTTTGGCCACCTCCAGCCGTCGTTGGCCTGTCGTGGAGCCTCTTGAGCGTTTTGGGTGTGTCTCGAGGCCGTTTTGAAACCGTTTTGGGATGTCCGACGGGTTCCTTGGCAACGTTTTGGAGCCGTCTTGGGATCCCCTTGGGCCGTCTTGGCGCCCTCTGGAGCCATCTTGGGCCCCTCCGGGCCGTCTTGGGCGTCTCTTGGCTTTGTCTTAGGGCAGTCTTGAGCCCATCTTGGGACATCTGGGGGCATCATGAGCCCAGGGACCATGATGGGGCATCTTGGGGCCCTCATGGGCCTTCGTCGGCTGTTATTGGAGCGTCTTGGGGTAATCTTGGGTGCCTCATGGGCCGTCTCGGACGCTCTGAAGAGAAAGAAAACGAGTACGCTCAGATCAATGACAGAGCATCAATCAATGGTTTCCACCTCTCAGAGGCCTCTTGGAGGTACTCTCGGAGCGTTCTTGGCGCGAAGCAGGGAGGACAGAATTGAGAATGCGCAGAGTGCTGCTGAATATCTCCCCCACCACACACACACGCTCCCTCCCATCGTCCACTAGCCAATGCTGCCCCAGAAAGACATCGAACAAGCTTTCCAAGAGAGGAGGCGCCTGTGCATGCTGCCTGCGCTGGGCATTGCCGCGCCAGGCAGCACTCCGGCGAGTCCAAGGGATGCTCCATCTGGCCAGCCTCCAGAGGAGATCACGATTGGCAAAACGAGGGGGAGGATGATGAGAGGAAGAAGACAGCGCGCCGGTCACGCCTCCCCCCCGGCGAGTGGCTCCGTGGATGGACCGGGTGCGGCGGCGCCACCCTCGAAGGCCTTCTTCACCTCGAGGTACTTCTCCGCGATCTCCGCGCTGGGCGCACCGTACAGGGTATGCATGGTCAGCATGGCGACCAGCAGCAGCAGGGATGCCGCCGCGAATGCCCCGACGAGGGCGAGGTTCACGGGGCTCACCGCCAGGCGGCAGACCAGCAGCGCCACGGCCACGGCGCCCAGGACGGCAGGTGTGGCCGCGCCTGACTTGTCTTCGACCGTGACGTGGAACGCAGCGGCGTGGAAGGTGATCCAGGCCAGCCCGAAGTACGCGCAGACGACCAGTGACTGAGCCAGGCCGAGCAGCGACCCGGGCCCTTCCGGGCCCAGGAGTCCCAGCTGCTCACCCCAGAGCGCGGCCAGCAGTCCCAGGCCCGCCGCCATGATGCCTGCACCGTCCGCGATTCGGAGCAGATCGCCGGACATGCCGTAGAAGGGGCCGATGGCGACGTCGAAGGCAAACTTAAACATCGGGTGCATCGGGTTGCAGGGCAGCACTTTGAGCGAGCCGGGGAAGGCAAGCATGAAGGCCGCGTAGAGGCTGCCGATCACGAGAGACACCACGCCCAGCACGGACGCCATGGAGGAGCAACAACCTTCTGCTTGCTGGGGGGCAGAGATTTTTTCAGAGCCTTGCACCAAAGCTGGATGCGGAAGAGGGGGATGAGGAGGAGGAGGAGAATGAGGAAGAAGAGGAGCTACTGAGGGCAGGAGAACATTTGCCGCTACGGCACGTTCCCGTCGTGTCGACCACGGCGTTGGTTCCTGACACTGCGAGGATCTTTCGACCTTGAATGACCGGCTGCTCACGAAACGTCAGATCCTTCAGCGCCAACCGCTTCTGGGCTGGGTCGCTGGCGGCGTCCAACGTTGAACGGCGGTGGCGGGGTCGCCGCTGGTCGATACGACGCGAACCTGCCGTACAAGCTTTCATCTTCGACTCATGGCCCGAGAGGCTCTGGGGGACAGCAGCCCGCTCCTTGATGATCCGCAGCGCGGGCAGGACGGGGTTCACCTCGTGCCTGCTCATGCTGAGGCTGTCCCGCGCGGCGGCGTTGACCTGCGGACCGGGCGCGCGGGGCGGAGGGCGGAGGGCGGAGGGGGCGGTGGGCGACGGGCAGCCCGGAAGGAGGAACAGGGGGGCCAGTCCGGGGGCCACTTTTGCTCACAACGGGGGGGGGGAGGGCGCCCCTCCAAGCTTGCCGCCAAGGAGGGGGAGGAGGGGGAGGAGGAGGAGGAGGAGGGGAAGGAGGAGGAGGAGGAGGAGGAGGAGGAGGAGGAGGAGAGGAGGAGGAGGAGGAGGAGGAGGAGGAGGAGGAGGAGGAGAGGAGGAGGAAGGAGGAGGAGGTGAAGGAGAAGCGCTTTGGGGAACGTCTTGGCCATGCCGAGGATGGCGAGGGGGGGTGCCCTGGGGGAGGACTGCGGGGGGCAGGGCGCAGGGGGGGAGGCCTGAGATCGGGGCGTCGCATTTCTGTTGCTTCACGCCGGCCGATCCCGCCGGGTCTCGGGCCGGTCCGGCTCGAGAAGTGCCGCAGAACGATGGGTCCAAGGCTCCGGTCCTGATTTCTGTTGATGCTGTATCTTGTTCGCGCTGTCGCGTCTCGGGGGGGGGCTGGGAGGGGAGGGGGCGGAAGGGGGAGAGGGAAGCTGGGCAGGGGGAAGGGAGGGGAGGAGAAGGAGAGAGATGGGAGGGGAGCGGGGGGGAGGAGGGGAGGAGGTTGGGGAGGGGGGGGGAAGGGAAGGGGAGTGGTAGTGGAAAGAGGTGATGAGGAAGGACTGAGGGCACGCATGCAATTTGTTCTCCCATATTTGCTCGCCTGCCTGCCGATGTGAACATCTGCAAATGATAACTTGTGCAGGCGCGGGCGCACACCCGTGACTAAACATGGGAGTGACGACGCATCCTAGCGATAGCACGTGTAATCTAAAAAGCAAGCGCAACACAAATACAGTCAACCCGCAGAGTAAGGATGCGCGATAAGGATGCAAGGGCCCATTCCGAAGCTCTTCGAGCGGAGTGCGGCCAACGAACGTGGCGAAGGATGGACCTAGGAGGCAAGGACGGACGGGTACCCTTGGGAGGGATGCCCATCCTTACTCTGCGGGTCGACTGTAGCGCAACCGCGCGTGCATGCAGTGGCGCACGCCGTCAGACTCTGCCCGATATCTTGCCTGGGAGCAGAGGCGGGCGCACGAGCAGACGAGCAAGCGTGTAGACCCTAACGTGCAGCTTTGCAGGCACACAGTCGAGGTTGCATCGAAGGACGATGAACATACAGTCAACCCGTACAGTAAGGATGCGCGGTAAGGATGCAAGGGCCTTGGAGGGCCACGTTGACGTTTTTCGAGCAAGATTGGCCAGCGAGAGCGGCCAAGGCTGGACCGAGGAGGCAAGGATGCAAGGGTACCCTTGGGAAGGTTGCCCATCCTTACTATGCGGGTTGACTGTACTCGAACTACCAAGCACAGTTGCAAGCAAGCGACAGCGCTTGCACCGAAGCGCTGCGTCGCCTTGAAACCCCTGCACCGCCCCACCTCGCATTACAATGCCTTGCCCATGGGCAGCAGCCGCGGGACGAGTTCGAGCAAAAGAAGGAGGACGAGAAGCAGGGAGAGGGGGAAGAGCAGGAGTTGGAGGTGGGCGACGAAGAGGGAGAAGGATGTTGAAATGAGGATGACCAGCAGCTGGGTGAGTCATTTTCCTGCCTCTCCGACACCCCGTGCTCCACCAGGTCCTCCTCCTCCTCCTTCTTCTCCTCCTCCTCCTCCTCCTCCTCCTCCTCCTCCTCCTCCTCCTCCCCTCCCCCCTCCCGAGAAGATGAAAAGGGAGAGGGGAGGAGGCAGGAAGAGAGGAGCGAGGCAAGGGCAGGGCAGGGGATGGCGAGAGGGCAGGGCGAGAAGGGGAGGAGCGAGAGGGAGGGAAGGACGAGAGGGGAGGGCAGGGGAGGGGAGGGTTCGAGGGAAGGACGAAGAGGGAGGGACGAGAGGGAGGGGAGGACGAGAGGGGAGGGCAGGGGAGGGGAGGGTGAGAGGGAGGGACGAGGGGGGAGGGGAGGGGAGGGGAGGGGAGGGTGAGAGGGAAGGACGAGGAGGGAGGACGAGACTGGCTCCCTCGATGGGAACCGAGCCGGCGCTGCAAGACTGCCCGCGCGTCCGCCGCCGGCCCCCCCCGCCGCCCCTCCGGCGGCCTGCAGCTTGCACTCCAAGCACTCCGCGAGGCTATCCCTGCCCCCCCCGCACCCCCTGGGGGTCTCGCTCGCGGGAAGGGGGGGAGGAGGGGGGGGAGGAAGGCGCGCGGACGAGGCGGGCGACGAGGAAGGAGGAGGAGGAGGAGGAGGAGGAGGAGGAGGAGGAGGAGGGGGAGGAGGAGGGGGAGGAGGGGGGGCGGACAAGCTAGGTGCGCTCGCGTCATATCTGACGTCCTACCCCTCCCTCCCATCCCTTACCATGGCGCTGATTTTCTCTATCCGCGGACGCGTGTCGTAGCGGACCTGTGGCTCCGCGCGCGCGTGCGTAGTGGGTGGTGGTGCGCGTGCGTGCGTGCGTGCGTGTGTGCGTGGTTTGTTGTGGTGGTTTGTGGTGGTGGTGGTGGTGGTGGTGTGGGTTTGGGTGGTGTGGTGGTGGTGTGGTGGGTGGTGGTGGTGGTGTGGTGATGGTGGTGGTGGTGGGGTGGTACTGGTGGGTGGTGGTGGTGGTTGTGGTGGTGGTGGTGGTTGTTGTACTGGTGTTGGTGGTTGGGTGGTGGTGGTGGTGGTGGTCGGCGCGTGCGGCGCGGTGGTGGCGGGCGATGGGCGCGCGAGAAAAAGGCCCGCGCTGGGGCGAGAACGCCATCCTGAACGACGGAGGCCAAACACCGATCCGAAAATGAGGCCCACGCTGCAGCGGGAGCACGATTCGGAACGATTCGGGAGCAGAAATGAGGCCGGCGCCTCAACGAGAGCAGCATTTTGGGAAAAAAATGACGCCGGCGCCTCAGCGAGAGTCGTTTCCCGGGATTTCCCGGGGATCCTGCGTGTAAAAAAACAGTACGCGGAGGGTGCGCGGCCATCACCCGGACGCCATCAGGGGAAGAGGGAGAGTATTTTCATATTGAGTAATTGTGGAGGGGGAGGAGGAGGAGGACGAGGAGGAGGAGGAGGAGTAGAAAGAGGAGGAGGATGAGGATGAGGAGGAGGGATGAGGATGAGGACGCGGATGAGGACGAGGACGAGGATGAGGAAGATGAGTATGAGTATGAGGATGAGGATGAGTACGAGACAGAGTATGATGCGGATGATGATGCTGCTGATGATGCTGGTGATGCTGCTGCTGATGATGAGGAGGAGAAGGATGAGGGTGAGGATGATGAGGATGAGGATGATGCTGTTGCTGCTGCTGATGATGATGATGATGGTGGTGATGATGATGATGGTGATGATGATGATGATGATGAGGAGGAGGAGGAGGAGGAGGAGGAGGAGGACAGGAGGAGAAGGACGACGATGACGTCGGGAGGAAGACGACGAGGAAGGGAGGGGGGGGGGGGGACCAGGGAGGAACGCGGGCAGCGGACTCAAGGGGCGGCAACGAAGGAGGAAGGAGGAGAAGAGTGAATTGAAGGGCGCGAAGCTGCCCTTCCTCCTCGTCGTTGTTGCCCCCTCAGGCCCTCGCGTGTCGAGGGGGAAAGGTGGAGGTTTCGGGACGGAAGAATTTCCTGGATCGGTGCCCGGCCCCCTCCCTGGCGCGCGGGGCGTGCCGGGAGCGGCGGCGGGAGGTGCCGCCGAGGGCGTGCGGCGCCGACCCAGGAAGTCGGCGCGGCGCTCCGGAAGCTTCTGCCCGTGCCCTCTCTTCTGGAGGGGAGGAGGGCCTGGAACTCCTCCTCCTCCTCCTCCTCTCCTCTTCTTCCTCCTCCTCCTCCTCCTCCTCCTCCCTCTCCTCTCCCTCCCCCCTTCCCCCTCCCCCTCCTTCCCCCCCCCCCTCCCCCCCCTCCCTCCCTCCTCCTCCTCCTCCCCCTCCCCCTCCTCCTCCTCCCTCCCCTCCTCTGCCTCCTCCTCCTCCTCTCCTCCTCCTTCACTCCCTCCTCCTCCTCCTCCTCCCTCCTCCTCCGTGCGCGAGCTGAGGGGTCTGGAACTCCACCGTGCCAGAACGTGCCGAAGACAACGAAACAGAGTGTGTCAGACTGGCAGCAGGCCGAGCGGGCAGCGTGGCTGCCAAAGTCGGCCAGGGAGGGGGGCGGACGAGGAGGAGGGCAGGCAACCAGAGAGGCCCAGCACGCTGGCTCGTGACCATTTGTCGCATTTGCTTCGTGGGTGTGGCCTGGGAAACAGACGAGCGACCGAGTCAGCAGCTGTCCTTCGGACCCGGTCCGAAGCGCTGCTGAGGAGAGAGGGAAGGAAGAGGAGGAGGGAGGCCCACGTTGACTCGTGAGGAGGAGGAGAGGAGGAGGAGGGAGGGAGGGAAGGAGGGAGGGAGCAACGGGGGAGGGCCCTCCTCCCTTCTCCTCCTCCTGGACGTCTCCTCCAGGCCCCCTCCTCCCCCCGCCCCGCCTCAGGGCGCAGTTGAGGAAGTCGTCCTCGGTCGGGAGGCTCCTGGTCCCCAGCCGCGGAAGGAGGGGGGGGGCGCAGGGAGACCTGGGGGTGGGAACCTGGGGGGTGGGCCGTTGGGTGCGTCAGCTGCACACGGAGAGGGGGCAGAGGAGGAAGGATGGGAGGCAGGCGAGAGGAGGGGAGAGGGGAGGGAGGGGAGAGGGAGGGGGGAGAGGGGGGAGAGGAGGGGAGAGGGGGGAGAGGAGGGGAGAGAGGGAGGGAGGGGAGAGGGGAGGGACGGCTGGAGGGGGAGGGGAGTGAGGGGACAGGGAGGGGAGGCAAGGGAAGGGAGGGAGAGGAGCTGAGGAGACTGAGAGGGGACAGGAGCTGCACAGGTAGAGGGATCTGCAGGTGAAGAGCTACACGCATACATGTAATATACATCTATACATATAGTGACAAAAAGAGAGAGAGGGAGAGGGATAGAGAGAGAGAGAGAGAAAGAGAGAGAGAGAGAGAGAGACAGAGAGAACAACAACATAACAAACACACAAAAAATATTGATCGAGAGAGGGGGAGAGAAAAGAAGAAGAAGAAGAAAGAGAGAGAGAGAGAGAGAACGACAATCGTGTGTGATACGACTGTATACGCACGCATGAAAAAAAACGACTTCATCGTCCACCGGCCTGGCAAATACATCCTAGGGGGCGTACCAAAAACGGACCCCAAAACAGAAAGCACAACCCCCTTGGGTCGACCCAGAAATCCGCTCCCCGGCCCCCCCCCCCGGAGCTCGGCAAGCCGGCTCCGTCGACCCAAGCGTGACGGACCCTCCTTTGGGCCTCGGAGCCCGCAGAAGCCTATGGACAATCGATGATTTTGGCCCCCGGGGCCTCTTGGGGGTCCAATTTGCGTCAAGACGGCTCATGATGGACTCGAGACGGGCCAAGGCGACCTCAAGACGGTCCAAGATGGCCACGAGAGGGCCCAAACAGCCCCCAAGAAGGCCCAAGAGGGCCCCAAGAGGACCCCCAAGAGCGCCTCCAGAGACCAAAATCATGGACTTGCCTAAAGTGTTTGACAGATTTTAGCGTTCTCGTGTTTTTTAGTATCCGTAGAATTCCATGACGGCCCAAGCAGCACCCAAAATGATCCCAGGATGGCCCTAGAAGCCCCCAAGAGGACCCCGACACGGCCCAAGAGGGTCCCAAGACGGCCCAAAGAGGCCCCCAGGACGGTCCAAGCCCCCAAGACGGCCCAAGAGGACCCCAAGAGAGCCCGAAGCCGGCCGCGAGAGGCCCACAGGATGGCCTCCGAAGGAGCCACACGGCGCGCAAGAGCGCCTCAAGAAGGCCCAAGACGCCCCCAAGAGGCCAGAAAGCAGCCCCCAAGAACCCGCAAGAGGCCCCCAAGGGGCCTCCAAGAGGCCTCGAAGAAGCTCCCTCCCACCAGGCCCCACAACGTCTGGACTGCACGCGCTCCGGACGTGCACCCCGCGAAACAAGAGGAATCCACGTCCAGAGGTGACGCGTTGCTGGAGGCAGGTCGCGCGGCGGAACGGAAGCCCTGATGCAACGTATGGGCCATGCCACATCCGTCGACCCATCGTGGTGAACCCCTTATGGGCCTCGAAACATACAAAACCGACGGAAAATCTATGATTTGGGGCCCTGGGGCCTCTCGGGGGTCCATGAGGGCGTCAAGACAGCTAAAGATGATTTCAGCACAAGCCATGTCGGCCCCAAGACGCCCAAGATGGCCCCAAGACGGCCCAAGCAGCCCCTAAGACGGCCCAAGAGGACTCTCAAAAGCGCCTCCAGAAGCCAAGAACAGACATTTTCCTGTGGCTTTTGAGCGACTTTAGCGTTCTCGCCTCGTTCGTCTCTCAGAGGCCCCTGAGGGCCCAACCAGCCTGCAAGATGGCCCCAAGATGGCCCAAGAACCCCTCGGAGAGGGTCCCAAGACGGCACAACAGGGCCCCGAGACGGCCCAAAGAGGCCCCCAAGACGGTCCAAGAGGCCCCCAAGACGGCTCCAGAGGACTCCAAGTGGGCTCCGAGGCGGCCGCGAGAGGCCCAGAGGACTGCCTCCGAAGGGGCCACACGGCGCAAGAGCGCCCCGAGACGGCCCAAGACGCCCCCAAGAAGCCGCGAGAGGCCCCGAACAAGCCTCCAGGAGGCCCCAATACGCTCTCAATAGGCCCCCAAAAGGCTCCGAAGAGGCTCCCACCAGGCCCTGCAACGAATGGACTGCACGTGCTCCGTGCATGCACCCCGCGAAGCGAAAGGAATCCACGTCTGCGTTGCGAAGAAATGTCTTCCCCCCTTCCCCCCTGGAATCGCGCCACATGCGCGTATCAATCTGACGACCCTCGCTCTGGGCCTCTTGGGAGCCCGAGAAGGCCTCAAGACGGCTTGACATGGCCCCAAAATTGCCGCAAGACGGTCTCAAGACGGCCCAAGATGGCCACAAGAGGGCCCAAACAGCCCCCAAGAAGGCCGCAAAAGGCCCCAAGGGGGCCCCCAAGAGCGCCACCAGAGGCCCAAAGCATACATGTTCCTCTGGACTTGTAATCTTCTAGCCTCTCTCGTGTTTTTGTCGACTCGCTCGGGGCCGTGACGGCCCAAGGAGCCTCCAAAATTGCCCCAAGGCGGCCCAAGAGGCCCCCAACAGAGCCGGGCTGGCCCGACGGAGCCGCCAGGAAACCGAAGAGGCCGGGCCCGCCAAACAGCGTGGGCAAACCCGGAATCCAGGGAACTCCACTCTTACGCCTTCCTGACACTGGGGCCCTCAACTTGCGCGCAGGCCTCGGGAGGGACCCTGGATGCGTCGCCACGCTGGCCCGGCCCGCCTACGATCCCGCAGCGTGTCCCGGTGCCTTCTTTTCCAGCCCTTGCAAATACGTGGGCCGTCAGCGTTTGCGCAGCTCCTTGGCAGCGCTTCCTGGCTCGCGCGCAGCTCCTGGGCAGCTACTGGGCCGCGCTTCCGAAGCTCGCGCGCAGCTCCTAGGCAGCTCCGAGGCCTTTCACCGCCACTCGTGCGTGGAGATGCGGGCTGTTGTTGGACCGAAGCGGGCGGAGCGGACGGCCGTGCATCTGGCAGACGAGCACTGCCGCCCTTCCCAGCACTACGCGAACCGGCTCGTCGCGCTCGGCGGCGGCGGGGTCGCACTTGAAAAGTGAGACCCGCCTGGAGGGCGCTGGATTGAGGGTGCATGGGCTCGTCCAGAGGAGCATGAGCAGGAGCAGGAGCAGGAGGAGGGATGGAGAAGGGGGGAGGGAGGCAGAAAAAGGAGGAGGGAAGCAAAGGGAGGAGGAGGAGGAGGAGGAGGAGGAGGAGGAGGAGGAGGAGGAGGAGGAGGAGGAGGAGGTACCGAGAGAGAACGAGGAGGGAGGTGGATCGAGAAGGAGAGTTGGCGGGGGGAGGGGGACGAGGCAGGGCACGAACGAGGCGGGGCGAGGACCAGGCACGCGTGCCCCCCCTGCTGCCGCACGTTCTTTAGCATCTTGGTCAGCTGCTGGCTTGAACCTCCGTCCGGCCGGCGCGCCGATGTCATGGAACGTGTCGTCCACTTCGGCTCTCTCCTTCACCCTGGCCCGACTGTCGCCGCCCCCTCTGATAATCTCGCTGTGTCTCTCTCTCTCTCTCTCTTTCCCTCTCTCTTTCTCGCTTTCCTCTGCCTCTGTCTCTATGGCTTTTTCTCTAACTATGTATGTCCCTCTCTCTCTCTCTCCCTTTCTTGTGTGAATCTTAGTCGTTGTTGAATATCTCTCGCTGTATGTCTCTCCCTCTCTCTGTCTCGTCGTATGTTGTTATGGTGTCTCGCTCTCTCTTTCTCTCTCTCTCTCTCGCGCGCGCCTCTCTCTCTCTCTCTCTCCATATATGTATATATATATACGAACACATATATATATATACACAGACACGTGTGCATCTCTCTCTCTCTCTCGCTCTCTCTCTCTCTATGTATATATATATATATATATGTACATGTATATACATGGTATGTCTCCCGTATTTCGTCTTTGCGACATTCTTCGTCTCTCGACGTCGTGGTCATCGTCTCCCGTGCTCATCTAGCACGTCGCCTTGCCTCCCCTCGCCTCCTTTCCCTTCTTTGCAGTATCTCTCAATTGCTGTCTCTCTCTCTCTCTCTCTTTCTCCCCCCCTCTCTCTATATATTTCTCTCTCCCCATCTGTCTCTCATCTTTCATTGGGTACATATTTGTGTGTATATATACATATGATACCGGAGAACAGCCCGGGGGGTGAGGTCCGGGGGGGGGGGTCCCTGGGGGGGGGTCCCCGGGCAGATGCGACTCCCCCTCGGGCGGTTGGGCGGCCAAGAAAAGTCGCAGGACGCGGCAAAACTGCCTCAAAATGCCCCCAAGACGGCATCGAGTGCCCCGAATCGCCGAAGTGAGGGTCCAAGTCGCCAAAGTAGCCTCCGGGCGGCTCAAAAGGTTTCCGAACCGCCCCAAGAGGCCTCCGAGAGGACTTCCAAGAGGGTCCCAAGGGGCAGGATCATCGATTGAAAGATTTCGGCATTGTCGCCTTGTCAGCTTCCCGACGCTCAAAGACAGGCTAAGAAGCCCCCAAGACCGCCCCAAGATGGCCCAAGAGGCCTCCAAGAGAGCCCCAAAACGACCCAAGAGGGCCCCAAGACCGACCAAGAGGCCTCCAAGACAGCCGAAGAGGCCCCCAAGACAGCTCCAAGGAGGAGCCCAGACGGGGGACCCGAACGGACATTTCGAGCCCTCGGCCTGAGAAGCTCTCAGGAGGCCCCAGAGGTCTCCAATTATCCCAGAGCGACCCTACCTAGGAGATGGAGCCCCGAGGAGAGCAATCTTAGTAGTAACGGTAAACGCCGTCCTCCTCCTTCTCCTCATCGTCGCAGTAGTAGTAGTAGTAGTAGTAGTAGTAGTAGTAGTAGCAGTAGTAGTAGTAGTAGTAGTAGTAGTAGTAGTAGTAGTAGTAGTAGTAGTAGTAGTAGTAGTAGTAGTAGTAGTGGTAGTAGTAGTAGTAGTAGTAGTAGTAGTAGTAGTAGCAGTATAGTAGTAGTAG